GGGATGCAGGGATGGATTTTGGGGGATCCAGGTTGGATTTTCAGGGTTCCAGGTTTTCATGGGTCTCAGGTTGGATTTTATTGGTTCCAGGTTGGATTTTGGGGTTCCTGGGATGGGTTTTGGGGTTCCAGGTGTTTCTGGGTCACAGGTTGGAATTTATCGGTTCTAGGATGGGGTTTTTTGGGGTTCCAGGGATGGATTTTGGGGTTCCTGGGATGGATTTTGGGGTTCCTGATTTTTGTAGGTCCCAGGCTGCATTTGGGGTGTTTTAGGATAAATTTTGGGGGTTCCAGGATGGATTTTGGGGTTCCTGTAATGGATTTCGGGGTTCCCAAATTTCAGAATTTCGGGTTCGATTTTGGGGTTCCAGGGACGGATTTTGGGGGTTCCAGGATGGATTTTGGGGTTCCAGGTTTTCATAGGTCTCAGGTTGGATTTTATTGATTCCAGGATGGGTTTTTGGGGGTTCCAGGGATGGATTTTGGGGGTTCCTGAGATGGATTTTCGGGGTTCCAGGTTGGATTTCAGGGTTCCAGGTTTTTGTGAGTCTCAGGTTGGATTTGAGGGTTCCAGGGATGGATTTTGGGGTTTCTAGATTGGATTTTTGAGGGTTCCAGGATGGATTTTGGGGTTTCCAGGATGGATTTTGGGGATTCCAGGTTGGATTTCGGGGTTCCCAAATTTCAGACTTTCAGGTTCGATTTTGAGGTTTCCAGGATGGATTTTGGGGGTTCTCGGGATGAATTTTGGGGGGTTCCAGGTTGAATTTTATTGTTTCCAGGTTGGATTTGAGGTTTCCAGGATGGAATTTGGGGTTCCAGGTCTTTGTGGGTCCAAGGTTGAGGTTTGGGGTTTCTGGGATGGATTTCGGGCTTCTGGGATGGATTTTGGGGCTCCCCAGATGGATTTCAGGGTTCCAGGTTTTTGTAGCACTTTGGGGTTTCTAGATTGGATTTTTAGGGGTTCCAGGTTGGATTTTGGGGGTTCCAGGGATGGATTTTGGGGGTCCCTTGGGATGGATTTCAGGGTTCCAGGTGTTTCCACATCTCAGGTTGGATTTCAGGGGTTCCTGGTTGGATTTCGGGGTTCCTGGGATGGATTTTTGAGATTTTACACTGGATTTTGGGGTTTCCGGGGTGAATTTTTGGGGTTTCCAGGTGAATTTTTGGGGTTCCAAGTTGAATTTCAGGGTTCCTGGGCTCCGTTTCCCATCCCCACCACCCCGAGGGCGCAGTCGAGGGCGGGGGCGCCGTGGGTCAGGCACCCCATGGACGCGGCGTCCACGTGGGGCTCCCGGCTCGGATTTCGGGGTTCCCAAATTTCAGGGTTTCAGGTTCGATTTAGAGCGGTTCAGGGTGGAGTTTTGGGGTTTCTGGGATGGATTTCGGGGTTCCAGGTTTCATGGGTCTCAGGCTGGATTTTATTGGTTCCAGGTTGGATTTTGGGGTTCCTGGGATGGGTTTTCGGGGTTCCAGGTGTTTCTGGGTCACAGGTTGGAATTTATCGGTTCCCGGTTGGATTTTATTGGTTCCAGGTTGGATTTTGGGGTTCCTGGGATGGGTTTTGGGGTTCCAGTTTGGATTTTGGGGTTCCTGGGATGGGTTTTGGGGTTCCAGGTGTTTCGGGGTCACAGGTTGGAATTTATCGGTTCCCGGTTGGATTTTATTGGTTCCAGGTTGGATTTTCAGGGTTCCGGGTTGGATTTTGGGGGTTCCAGGTTTTGTAGGTCCCGGGTTGGATTTTTGGGCTTCTGGGATGGATTTTAGGGATCCAGGTTGGATTTCAGGGTTCCAGGTTTTTCTAGGTCCCCGGGTTGGATTTTGGGGTTCCTGGGATGGATTTTGGGGTTTCTGGGTGGAATTTCAAGGTTCCAAGTTGGATTTTGGTCATTCCAAGGTGGATTTTCGGGGTTCCTGGGCTCCGTTTCCCATCCCCACCACCCCGAGGGCGCAGTCGAGGGCGGGGGGCGCCGTGGGTCAGGCACCCCATGGACGCGGCGTCCACGTGGGGCTCCCGGCTCGGATTTCGGGGTTCCCAAATTTCAGGGTTTCAGGTTCGATTTAGAGCGGTTCGGGATGGAGTTTTGGGGTTTCTGGGATGGATTTTGGGGGTTCCAGGTTGGATTGTATTGGTTCCAGGTCGGGATTTTGGGGGTTCCAGGTTTTTGCAGGATTTCAGGGCTTCCAGGGTTGGATTCTGGGGGTTCCTGGAATGGATTTTGGGGATTCCAGGTTGGATTTTGGGGTTCCTGGGTGGATTTTTGGGCTTCCCAAATTCAGGGTTTCAGGTTCGATGCTGAGGGTTTCAGGATGGAGTTTGAGGGCCTGGGACGAATTTTGGGTGTTCCAGGTTGGGTTTTCAGGGTCCCACGCCGAATTTTCGGGGTTCCTGGGCTCCGTCTGCCACCCCCACCACCTTGAGGGCGAAGTCCAGGCTGGGGGCGCCGTGGGTCAGGCACCCCATGGACACGACGTCCACGTGGGGCCCCAGGAACCGCGCCAGGCTCTCCAGGCCGATGCCCCCCGCTGGCCTCCACCAGCACCCGCGGGTGCGCGGCCTTGACGCGCGCGGCCGCCGCCTGCAGCGCCTGGAAACGGGGAAAAATGGCCAAAAACCCCCAAATCTGGGGGGTTTGCAACCCAAAATATGCCCAGATTGGGTCCCGTTTTTTAGAGTTTCCCCCTTTTTTTTTTTTTTTTGTGTTTATTCCCTTTTTTTTTTTTTTTTTTTGGTGTTTATCCCAATTTTTTCCAGCGTGTCCTCATTTTTTTGGGGTTTTTCCCTTTTATTTTTTTTTTTTTTTAATTTTTTCCCTTTTTTTTTTTTTTTTTTTTTTGGTTTGTTTGGGTTTTTTTCCCCGTTTTTCTGGGGTTTATCCGCCCAGTTTTGGGGTCTCACCCACCCAGAAAACCCCAAAATTTGGGGGGTGTGACCCCAAATCTGCCCAATTTCGGTCCCGATAAAAACCCATTAATTATGGGATTATTGAACCCAAAATCGGGGTGTCCACCCCCAAATCCTCCAAATCCCCATTAAACCAGAAATCCCAAAAAAATTGGGGGTTTTTGACCCCAAATCTGCCCAATTTGGGTCCCTAGAAAAAATTATCAATTTTGGGATTCTTCCTCTTAAAATTGGGGTGTTCAAAATTGGGGTGTCCACCCTCAAATTCTACAAATCGCCCTTAAACGAGAAATCCCAAAAATTTGGGATTTTCCACCCAATTTTGGGGTCCCACCCATCCAGAAAACCCCAAAATTTGGGATTTTCAACCTAAAATTTGCCCAATTTGGGTCTCTATAAAAACCCATTAATTATGCGATTATCCCACCCAAAATTGGGGTGTTCACCCCCAAATCAAGCATTATCCCCCTTAAACCAAAAACCCCAAAAATTTGGGATTTTCCACCCAATTTTGGGGTATCGCCCAACTAAAAAAAACCCCAAAATTTGGGGTTTTCAACCTAAAATTTGCCCAGTTTGGGTCCCTAGAAAAAATCACCAATTTTGGGATTGTTCCACTAAAAATTGGGTGTTCAAAACTGGGGTGTCCACCCCCCAAATCCCCTTTAAACCAGAAACCCCAAAAATTTGGGATTTTTCACCCAAAATTTGGGGTCCGACCCACCGAGAAAAACCCCAAAATTCGGGGTTTCCAACCCAAAATCTGCCTAATTTGTGTCCCTAGAAAAAAATCATCAATTCCCCAAATTTTCGCCGTTCTCCCCCAAAATTTCTCCTTTTTCCCCCCCAAAATTTCGATTTTCGGGGTTCCCCGATATTTCGGGGCTCAGAGCTCAAATCTCCACCCCAATTCTGGGCACATTTTTGGGGTTTTCTCCCCCAAATTTTCACCGTTTTTCCCCAAATTTTTGCCTTTTTTCCCCGAAATTCCGCTATTCACCCCCCAAATTTTGGATTTTCGGGGTTCCCCTGTTTTTTAGGGCTCACCTCCGGGCTGAGGTTGTCGAGCAGGACGAGGTCGGCGCCGGCCTCGGCCGCCTGCAGCGCCTGCTCCGCGCTCGCGCACTCCACGCCCAATTTCTGAGTGAAGCCCAGGGCCCGGCGCGCCCCCAAAATCAGCTGCGGGACCCCGAAATTAACGCCCCAAAATTGGGGATTTACCCCCAAAAATTGGGAATTTCTACTCAAAAAATATGTGGAAAAATTGGGGATTTCTATTCAAAATTTATCCCCAAAAATTGGGAATTTTCCCCTCAAATTAATCCCCAAAAATTGGGGATTTACCCCCTAAAATTCATCCCCAAAAATTGGGAATTTTCACCCCAAAATTTACCCCCAAAAATTGGGAATTTCTACTCAAAAAATATCCGCAAAAATTGGGGATTTCTACTCAAAATTTATCCCCAAAAATTGGGAATTTCTGCCCCAAATTAATCCCCAAACTTGGGAATTTCTACTCAAAATTAATCAACAAAAATTCAGAAATGAATCCCCAAAAATTGGGAATTTCCCACATAAAAATTGGGAATTCCTACTCAAAATTAGTCCCCAAAAATTGGGATTTTCCCCTCAAATTAATCCCCAAAAATTGGAATTTCCCTCATAAATTAATCCCCAAAAATTGGGAATTTTTCTGCAAAGTTAATCCCCAAAAATTGGGGATTTCTACTCAAAATTTCTCCCCAAAAATTCGGAATTTCCCCCCAAAATTGGGATTTTATCCCATAAATAAACCCCCAAAAATTGGGAATTTCCCCCCACATTAATCCCAAAAAATTGGGAATTTCCCCACAAAAATTGGGAATTTCCCTCATAAATGAATCCCCAAAAATTGGGAATTTTCCCCCCAAATTTGGGGTCCTCCCCCCAACCAAAACCCCCCAAATTTTGGGGTCCCCCCCCCCATTTCCCCCCAAAATTTTGCCCCAATTCCCCCCCAAATTTCGGGGTCTCCCCCCAAATTTCCTCCTCATTTCACCTCCAAATTTCGGGGTCCCACCGTGACCAAACCGCCCCAAATTTGGGGTCCCCCCAACCCCAAAACCCCCCAAAAATCCCCCAAATTTGGGGTGCTCACCTTTGCCAGCGCTCTGGGATTGTCCGGACCCCCCCAAATTTGCCCCCCAAATTTCCCCCATTTTTACCCCAAATTTTGGGGGTCCTCACAACCAGAACCCCCCAAATTTTGCCCCCCAAAATTCGGGGTCCCCCCACCCCAAATTCCCCTCAAAATTCGGGGTCCCCCCACCCCATTTCTCCCCCATTTTCTCCCCATTTCCCCCCCAAATTTCCTCCCAAATTCCCCCAAATTTCGGGGTCCCCCCACCACCAGAACCCCCCAATTTTTTCCCCAAATTCGGGGTCCCCCCACCCCATTTTCCCCCCAAATTTTCCCCCCAAATTTGAGATCCCCCCACCCCATTTCCCCCCCAAATTTCTCCCCCATTTCCCCCCAAATTTTCCCCCCAAATTCAGGGTTCCCCCATACCCAAAACCCCCCAAATTCTGGGGTCCCCCCCCCCATTACGCCCCCCAATTTCGAGGTCTCCCCACAACCAAAACCTCCCCAAATTTTCCCCCCAAATTCGGGATTCCCCCCCAAATTTTCCCCCCAAATTTTGCCCCCCATTCCCTCCCAATTTCGGGGGTCCCCCCAACCCCAAAACCCCCCAAAAATCCCCCAAATTTTGGGGTGCTCCCCTTTGTCACCCCCTCCTCGTTCTGCAGCGCTCTGGGATTGTCCGGACCCCCCCCAAATTTGCCCCCCAAATTTCCCCCATTTTACCCCAAATTCGGGGTCCCCACAACCAGAACCCCCCAAATTTTGCCCCCAAAATTCGGGGTCCCCCCACCCCAAATTCCCCCCAAAATCCGGATTCCCCCCACCCCATTTCTCCCCCATTTTCTCCCCCAAATTTCCCCCATTTTTCCCCAAATTTCGGGGTCCCCACACCCATTTCCCCCCCAAATCCGGGGGTCCCCACAACCAGAACCCCCCAAATTTTGCCCCCAAATTTTCCCCCCCAAATTCCGGATCCCCCTCCCCATTTTCCCCCAAATTTTTCCCCATTTCCCCCCCAGATTTGGGGATCCCCACAACCAGGACCCCCCAAATTTTGCCTCCAAATTTTGCCCCCATTTCCCCCCAAATTCGGGGTCTCCCCTCCCCATTTCTCCTCCATTTCCACCCCAAATTTTCCCCATTTCTCCCCCATTTTCCCCCCAATTTTTTCCCCAATTTTGGGGCTCCCCCGCCCCAAAACCCCCCCAAAATTCGGGGTGCTCACCCGTTTAACCCCTTCCTGTCCCCAGCCGCTCTCGGCCACCGCCCTGTGGTTGTCCCGATCCCCCTCCCCAATTCCTTCAAATTTCCCCCATTTTCCCCCAAATTCCTCCCCATTTTTCCCCATTTCCCCCCCCAGATTTGGGGGTCCCCACAACCAGGACCCCCCAAATTTTGCCTCCAGATTTGGCCCCCATTTCTCCCCCAAATTCGGGGTCTCCCCACCCAATTTCTCCTCCATTTCCACCCCATTTTCCACCCAAATTTTCCCCCATTTCCGCCAATTTTCCCCCCAATTTCGGGGCTCCCCCGACCCAAAACCCCCCCAAAATTCGGGGTCCTTACCCGTTTAACCCCTTCGTTGCCGCCGCCGCCCAGCTCCACCAGGGCCCTGTGATTGTCCCGATCCTCCCTCCCCATTTCCCTCCCATTTCTCCCCCAATTTTTCCCCCATTTCCACCCAAATTTTCCCCCAATTTCGGGGCGCTCACCCGTTTAACCCCTTCGCTGCCGCCGCCGCGCAGCTCCACCAGGGCCCTGTGGTTGTCCTTGAGCAGCCCGAACGCCCCATTTCCCCCCCAGATTATCCCCAAATTTTGCCCCATTTTCCCCCAAATTTCGGGGTCTCCCACAACCAAACCCCCCCCAAAATTCGGGTTCCTTACCCGTTTAACCCCTTCGTGCCCGCCGCCGCCCAGCTCCACCACGGCCCTGTGGTTGTCCCGATCCTCCCCTCCCCATTTCCCTCCCATTTCTCCCCCAATTTTTCCCCCATTTTCCACCCAAATTTTCCCCCAATTTCGGGGCTCTCTCACCCCAAAATTCGGGGCGCTCACCCGTTTAACCCCTTCGCTGCCGCCGCCGCGCAGCTCCACAGGGCCCTGTGGTTGTCCTTGAGCAGCCCAAACGCCCCATTTCCCCCCCAGATTATCCCCAAATTTTGCCCCATTTTCCACCCAAATTTTCCCCAAATTTCGGGGTCTCCCACAACCAAAACCCCCCAAAATTCGGGTTCCTTACCCGTTTAACCCCTTCGCTGCCGCCGCCGCCCAGCTCCACCAGGGCCCTGTGATTGTCCGATCCTCCCTCCCCATTTCCCTCCCATTTCTCCCCCAATTTTTCCCCCATTTCCACCCAAATTTTTCCCCAATTTCGGGGTGCTCACCCGTTTAACCCTTCGCTGCCGCCGCGCAGCTCCACCAGGGCCCTGTGGTTGTCCTTGAGCAGCCCGAACGCCCCATTTCCCCCCCAGATTATCCCCAAATTTTGCCCCATTTTCCCCCAAATTTCGGGGTCTCCCACAACCAAAACCCCCCAAAACCCCCCAAAATTCGGGTTCCTTACCCGTTTAACCCCTTCGCTGCCGCCGCCGCCCAGCTCCACCAGGGCCCTGTGGTTGTCCTTGAGCAGCCCGAACGCCCCATTTCCCCTCCCAAATTTCCCCCCATTTTACCCCAGATTTCGGGGTCTCCCACAACCAAACCCCCCCCAAAATTCGGGTTCCTTACCCGTTTAACCCCTTCGTTGCCGCCGCCGCCCAGCTCCACCACGGCCCTGTGATTGTCCCGATCCCCCCTCCCCATTTCCCTCCCATTTCTCCCCCAATTTTTCCCCCATTTCCACCCAAATTTCTCCCCAATTTCGGGGCGCTCACCCGTTTAACCCCTTCGCTGCCCGCCGCCCGCCCAGCTCCACCACGGCCCTGTGATTGTCCCGATCCCCCCTCCCCATTTCCCTCCCATTTCTCCCCCAATTTTTCCCCCATTTCCACCCAAATTTTCCCCCAATTTCGGGGCGCTCACCCGTTTAACCCCTTCGCTGCCGCCGCGCAGCTCCACCAGGGCCCTGTGGTTGTCCTTGAGCAGCCCGAACGCCCCATTTCCCCCCCAGATTATCCCCAAATTTTGCCCCATTTTCCCCCAAATTTCGGGGTCTCCCACAACCAAAACCCCCCCAAAACCCCCCAAAATTTGGGGCGCTCACCCGTTTAACCCCTTCCTGCCCGCCGCTCATCTCCGCCACTGCCCTGTGATTGTCCCGATCCCCCCTCCCCATTTCCCTCAAATTTCCCCCATTTTCCACCCAAATTTTCCCCCAATTTCGGGGCTCTCTCACCCCAAAATTCGGGGCGCTCACCCGTTTAACCCCTTCGCTGCCGCCGCCGCGCAGCTCCACCAGGGCCCTGTGGTTGTCCTTGAGCAGCCCGAAGGCGCCCAGCCCCTGGCGGTGCCCCTGCGCGCCCCCCCACGCCCAGCGCGTACTTCTCGGCCGCCCTGAAGCCGGGCGTGCATTTGCGCGTCCCCGCCACGACCCCTCCCCAGTTGCGGCTCTCGGCGACCCCCCGGGCGCGGGCGGCCATGGAGGCCACGCCGCTGCAGCGCCCCAGAACGTTCAGCGCCGCCCGCTCGGCCAGGAGCACCCCGAGAGCGGGGCCCGACACCTCGGCCACCAGCGCCCGGCCCGGCGGCAGGCGGGAGCCTTCGGGGAGCCTCCAGAGCACCGAGCAGCCCGACACCCCGAAAACCGCCTCGGCGAACGGGCAGCCCGCCAGCACCCCGAAAAACGGGGCGGGCTCGGGGGGGTGAAACTGGGGGGTTTTGGGGTTAAATTGGGGGGTTTCGGGGTTAAATTGGGGGGTTTCGGGGTGGTGTTGGGGGGTTTCGGGTGGGTTAAATTGGGGGGTTTTGGGGTTAAATTGGGGGGTTTCGGGGTGGTTTCGGGGGGCTTTCGGGGGGGTTAAATTGGGGGGTTTCGGGGGAGTTAAATTGGGGGGTTTCGGGGTGGTTTCGGGGGGTTTCGGGTGGGTTAAATTGGGGGGTTTCGGGTGGGTTAAATTGGGGGGTTTTGGGGTTAAATTGGGGGGTTTCGGGGTTAAATTGGGGGGTTTCGGGTGGGTTTTGGGGGGTTTCGGGGGGGTTAAATTGGGGGGGTTTCGGGGGGGGTTAAATTGGGGGGTTTCGGGGGGGTTAAATTGGGGGGTTTTGGGGTTAAATTGGGGGGGTTTCGGGTGGGTTTTGGGGGGTTTCGGGGGGGTTAAATTGGGGGGTTTCGGGGGAGTTAAATTGGGAGGTTTCGGGGTGGTTTCGGGGGGTTTCGGGGGGGTTAAATTGGGGGGTTTTGGGTGGGTTAAATTGGGGGTTTTGGGGTGGTTTCGGGGGGTTTCGGGGGGGTTAAATTGGGGGGTTTCGGGGTGGTTTTGGGGGGTTTTGGGGTTAAATTGGGGGGTTTCGGGGCGGTTAAATTGGGGGGTTTCGGGGTTAAATTGGGGGGTTTCGGGGTGGTTTCGGGGGGTTTCGGGTGGGTTAAATTGGGGGGTTTTGGGGTTAAATTGGGGGGTTTCGGGTGGGTTAAATTGGGGGGTTTCGGGGTGGTTTCGGGGGGTTTCGGGGGGGTTAAATTGGGGGGTTTTGGGTGGGTTAAATTGGGGGGTTTTGGGGTGGTTTCGGGGGGTTTCGGGGGGGTTAAATTGGGGGGTTTCGGGGTGGTTTTGGGGGGTTTTGGGGTTAAATTGGGGGGTTTCGGGGCGGTTAAATTGGGGGGTTTCGGGGTTAAATTGGGGGGTTTCGGGGTGGTTTCGGGGGGTTTCGGGGGGGTTAAATTGGGGGGTTTCGGGTGGGTTTTGGGGGGTTTCGGGGGGGGTTAAATTGGGGGGGTTTCGGGGGGGTTAAATTGGGGGGTTTCGGGGTGGTTTCGGGGGTTGCGGGGGGGTTAAATTGGGGGGTTTCGGGTGGGTTAAATTGGGGGGTTTTGGGGTTAAATTGGGGGGTTTCGGGGTGGTGTTGGGGGGTTTCGGGGGGGTTAAATTGGGGGGTTTCGGGGCGAAATTGGGGGGTTTCGGGGGGGTTAAATTGGGGGGTTTCGGGTGGGTTAAATTGGGGGGGTTTCGGGTGGGTTAAATTGGGGGGTTTTGGGGTTAAATTGGGGGGTTTCGGGTGGGTTAAATTGGGGGGTTTCGGCGTGGTTTCGGGGGGTTTCGGGTGGGTTAAATTGGGGGGTTTTGGGGTTAAATTGGGGGGTTTCGGGTGGGTTAAATTGGGGGGTTTCGGGGTTAAATTGGGGGGTTTCGGGTGGGTTAAATTGGGGGGTTTTGGGGTTAAATTGGGGGGTTTCGGGGGGGTTAAATTGGGGGGTTTCGGGGTGGTTAAATTGGGGGGTTTCGGGGTGGTTTCGGGGGGTTTCGGGGTTCTTGATGAGGATGTGGGCGCGGATCTGGGGTTCCCCAGCGGGGCCAGGGTGGGGTCGGGCCAGGGCGCGTCCTCGTCCAGCCAGGAGCGCGCCAGGGCCCGCAGGCGGTGCGGGGGAGGGGCGGGGGGCCAGGGGGTCCCCAAAGGGTTCGGGGGGCCCGGGAGGTTCGGGGGTGCTGAGGAACCGAGGGTTGAATGGGACATCACGGGATGGAGCTGGGGAGAGAGGAAAGAGAGAGAGTTAGGGGGGGTTTGGGGGTCCTAGGGGGAATTTTGGGGTCCCCGGAGGGTCCCTGAGAGGATTTTGGGGTCCCAGGAGGGTCCTTGGGGAGATTTGGGGGTCTTAGGGGGGGTCCTTGAGAGGGTTTTGGGGTCCCCATTGGGATCTATGGGAGATATTTGGGTCTGGGGTCGCTTGGGGGGATTTTGAGGGGAATTTTGGGGGTCCTGAGGGGATTTTGGGGTCCTGGAGGGGATTTTGGGGTCCCAGGGGGAATTTCGGGGGTCTTTGGGGGTCCTTAAGGGGATTTTGGGGTCCCAGGAGGGTCCTTGACAGGATTTTGGGGTCCTTGGGGAGATTTTGAGGGTCTTAGGGGGGTCCTTGAGGAGGTTTTGGGGTCCCCATTGGGATTTTCGGGGAGATATTTGGGTCTGGGGGGGATTTGGGGCCATGGGGAGGGGTCCTGGAGGGGATTTTGGGGGTCTTAGGGGGGTCCTGGAGGGGTTCATGGGGTCCCAGGGGGGATTTTGGGGTCCCCATTGGGATCTATGGGGAGATTTTTGGGTCTGGGGGGGGATTTGGGGGGGTCCCAGGAGGGTCCTTGAGTGGATTTTGGGATATTTGGGGTTCAGTTTTGGGATATTTGGGGTTCAGTTTTGGGGATTTGGGGGTTCAGTTTTGGGATATTTGGGGTTCAGTTTTGGGGGGATTTTGGGGGATATTTGGGGTTCAGTTTTGGGATATTTGGGGTTCAGTTTTGGGGGATTTGGGGTTCAGTTTTGGGATATTTGGGGTTCAGTTTTGGGGGGATTTTGGGGGATATTTGGGGTTCAGTTTTGGGGGATTTGGGGTTCAGTTTTGGGGGATTTGGGGTCCAGTTTTGGGGGGATTTTGGGGGATTTGGGGTTCAGTTTTGGGGGATTTGGGGTTCAGTTTTGGGATATTTGGGGTTCAGTTTTGGGGGGATTTTGGGATATTTGGGGTTCAGTTTTGGGGGATTTGGGGTTCAGTTTTGGGGGGATTTTGGGGGATATTTGGGGTTCAGTTTTGGGATATTTGGGGTTCAGTTTTGGGGATATTTGGGGTTCAGTTTTGGGGGATTTGGGGTTCAGTTTTGGGGGGATTTTGGGGGATATTTGGGGTTCAGTTTTTTGGGATTTGGGGTTCAGTTTTGGGGATTTGGGGTTCAGTTTTGGGGGATTTGGGGTTCAGTTTTGGGATATTTGGGGTTCAGTTTTGGGTGGATTTTGGGGGATATTTGGGGTTCAGTTTTGGGGGATTTGGGGTTACAGTTTTGGGGGGATTTTGGGATATTTGGGGTTCAGTTTTGGGGGATTTGGGGTTCAGTTTTGGGGGATTTGGGGTTCAGTTTTGGGATATTTGGGGTTCAGTTTTGGGGGATATTTGGGGTTCAGTTTTGGGGGATTTGGGGTTCAGTTTTGGGATATTTGGGGTTCAGTTTTGGGGGGATCTTGGGGGATATTTGGGGTTCAGTTTTGGGATATTTGGGGTTCAGTTTTGGGGGATATTTGGGGTTCAGTTTTGGGGGATTTGGGGTTCAGTTTTGGGGGATTTGGGGTTCAGTTTTGGGATATTTGGGGTTCAGTTTTGGGGGGATTTTGGGGGATATTTGGGGTTCAGTTTTGGGATATTTGGGGTTCAGTTTTGGGGGATTTGGGGTTCAGTTTTGGGATATTTGGGGTTCAGTTTTGGGATATTTGGGGTTCAGTTTTGGGGGATTTTGGGGGATTTGGGGTTCAGTTTTGGGGGATTTGGGGTTCAGTTTTGGGGGATATTTGGGGTTCAGTTTTTGGTGCCGATTTTTGCGGGTTTTTCCCCTTTTTTGGGATTTTGGGGCGATTTTAGCTGATTTTGTGTCAATTTTTGTCAATTTGGTGCCGATTTTTTCCCTTTAATTTCTGCTTTTGGGGATTTTTAGCTGATTTTGTGTCAATTTTTGCCAATTTTGTGCCGATTTTTGCCCTTTCTTCCATTTTTGGGGACTTTTTGGTGATTTTGGGGTTAATTTTTTGTCAATTTTAGCCAATTTGGTTGAGATTTTTCCCCTTTTTTCTGGTTTTGGGGCTTTTGCGGCGAATGTTTGTCAATTTTTGCCAATTTTGTGCCGATTTTTCCCCTTTTTTCTGGTTTTGGGCCAATTTCTGCTGATTTTGTGTAATTTTAGCCAATTTTATGCCAATTTTTCCCATTTTTTTGCCGATTTTCCCCCTTTTTTCCGGTTTTGGGGCAATTTCTGATGATTTTGGGTAATTTCAACCGATTTTCTGCCAATTTTTCCCATTTTTGCACCGATTTTTCCCTTTTTTTTTCCATTTTAGGGATTTTTAGATGATTCTGTGACCATTTGAGACAATTTAGTGCCGATTTTTGCCCTTCTTTTAAATTTTGGGGATTTTAAAATAATTTTGTGTCAATTTTTGCCACTTTTGTGCCGATTTTCCCCTTATTTTCCTGATTTTGGGCAATTTATGACGATTTTGAGTAATTTTAGCCGATTTAGTGCCGATTTTTACCCATTTAGTGCCGATTTTTCCCGATTTTGCGTATTTTGGGATGATTTTGGGTGATTCTGTGACAGTTTTTGCCAATTTTTACTAATTTTGTGCAGATTTTTCCTCTTTTTTCTGGTTTTGGGGCAATTTGTGATGATTTGTGCTGATATTGGGTAATTTTACCTGATTTTATGCCAATTTTTCCCATTTTTGTGCCGATTTTTCCCCTTTTCTCCATTTTAGGGATTTTTAGATGATTTTGAACCAATTTTGTGCCGATTTCCCCCCTTTTTTTTCCGGTTTTGGGGCAATTTATGCTGATTTTGAGCAATTTCCGCCGATTTTGTGTCAATTTTTCCCATTTTTGGGCCGATTTTTTCCGGTTTTGGGGCAATTTATGCTGATTTTGGCTGATTTCAGCCCATTTTATGCCAATTTTTGCCATTTTTGTGCCGATTTTTCCCCTTTTCTCCATTTTAGGGATTTTTAGATGATTTTGAACCAATTTTGTGTCGATTTTCCCCCCTTTTTTTTCCTGGTTTTGGGTATTTTGGGGTGATTTTAGCTGATTTTGTGCCGATTTTCCCCCGTTTTTCTGGTTTTGGGTATTTTGGGGTTAATTTGGGTGAATTTGAGTCAATTTTGTGATTTTAGTCAGTTTTGTGCCGATTTTTCCCCTTTTTTTCCCGGTTTTGGGGCGGTTTGTGCTGCTTTTGGCTGATTTCAGCTGATTTCGTGTCAATTTTTACAAATTTTGTGCTGATTTTAGCCGATTTTATGCCAATTTTTACCAATTTTGTGCCGATTTCCCCTCTTTTTTTCCGATTTTGGGCCAATTTCTGCTGATTTTGTGTAATTTCAGCCGATTTTATGCCAATTTTTCCCATTTTTGTGCCGATTTTTGCCCTTTTTTCCCCATTTTGGGGCGATTTATGCCGATTTTGGGTAATTTCAGCCGCTTTTGTGCCAATTTTTCCCATTTTTGCCCTTTTTGCCCCAAACCCCGCCGTCCAAAGTCCGTTTTGGGGCCGGCCCCGCCCCCTCCCCTCCCCCCCCCGCCCCTCCCCCACTCACCTGGCGCGCGCCGGACCCGAATGAGGCCCCGGGGGGGGGGAGGGGGGGGATCTTACCTGGGGGGGCGGGGCCAAAGCGCGGGCGCTGATTGGCTGCCACGCCCACCCCAAAAAAAAAAAAAAAAAATCCCAAAAAACCCAAAAAAATAAACCCGGAAGTGTTGGGGGGGGGGGGGGGGGAGGGGAAAATGGGGGAGGGGAGAATGGGAAAAATTGGGAATAAATTGGGGGAAAATTGGGAAAAATGAGATTTGGGGACATTGGGGAAAAAATTGGGGAAAATTTGGGAAAAAATTGGGGTGAGATTGGTAAAAAAATGGGAAAAATGAGATTTGGGGACATTGGGGAAAAATGGGGGGAAAATGGAGAAAAATTGGGGGGAAATTGGGGGGAAATTGGGAAAAATGAGATTTGGGGACATCGGGGGGATTGGGGACAATGAGAGAAAAATGGGAAAAATTGGGGGAAAAATGGAGGAAAAATTGGGGAAAATTGGGAAAAATGAGATTTGGGGACATTGGGGAAAAATTGGGACAAAGTGGAAAAAATGAGATTTGGGGACATTGGGGAAAAATTGGGGGAAAAATGTGAAAAATGAGATTTGGGGACATTGGGGGGAAAATGTGAAAAATGAGATTTGGGGGCGTTGGGGAAAAAATTGGGGAAAATTTGGGAAAAAATTGGGGTGAGATTGGTAAAAAAATGGGAAAAATGGGATTTGGGGACATTGGGGGGAAATTGGGGGGAAATTGGGGGGAAATTGGGAAAAATGAGATTTGGGGACATTGGGGGACATTGGGGACAATGAGAAAAAAAAAGGGAAAAATTGGGGGAAAATGGAGGAAAAATTGGGGAAAATTGGGAAAAATGAGATTTGGGGACATTGGGGAAAAATGGGGGAAAATGGGGGAAAATTGGGAAAAATGAGATTTGGGGACATTGGGGAAAAATGGGGGAAAATGGGGGAAAATTGGGAAAAATGAGATTTGGGGACATTGGGGAAAAATTGGGGGGAAAATGTGAAAAATGAGATTGGGGGACATTGGGGAAAAAATTGGGGAAAATTTGGGAAAAAATTGGGGTGAGATTGGTAAAAAAATGGGAAAAATGGGATTTGGGGACATTGGGGGGAAATTGGGGGGAAATTGGGGGGAAATTGGGAAAAATGAGATTGGGGGACATTGGGGACAATGAGGACAAAAAAGGGAAAAATTGGGGGAAAAATTGAGAAAATTTGGGGAAAATTTAGAAAAATGAGATTTGGGGACATTGGGACATTGGGGAAAATGGGGGGAATTGGGAAAAATGAGATTTGGGGACATTGAGGACATTGGGGACAATGAAAAAAAATGGGAAAAAATTGGAGGAAATGGAGGAAAACTTGGGAGAATTGGGCAA